ATCAAACACAAAGCATTCCAGGAACGTAAGGTATAGGTCAATTCAATTCTACTTTGAGGTCACTGAAGGAGGAATTAATGATGAACACTGTGGTCACCCTTGCACCTATCTGGATCTCATGTCTCCAAATCCTCCTGTGAGATTGGGAGACCAAAGCTGACGGTGGAAGTGGGAACAGAGGCCCAGAGAAAAAGAACTGGAGTGTAGAGCAAAGGCAAAACTAGCCAGGGGGCAGGAGGGGACACTTCTCGCTCTCCCATCTATGGGTCCATGACCCTGTGCCAAATCTCTTGGTGTAAGCAGCTGATTTTTTTTTTTTTCATTTGTTGTAACAATTTGAAAATGACAAGTCACGGCGATTTAACCCTGATTAGGTACTACTGGGCTCTATTACTGTAGCCAGAGCTGGGTGAAGAATTAGACTTTTTTGTCTGGTAAAAACCGGGAATGCCAACCACCGACTATCCAGAAACTCCAATTTAATAATTTTCTTCAACTCTTTTAACTCGACTAGTATTACTGAGTTCCTACTCCATGCTAGGCACTTACTACTACCTATGGGGGATGCAAGAATGAATAAGGTCAGATGCTTCTGCTTGCAGAATGTACAGCCTGGCAGAGAACAACATGCACACAACTCAGTCCCAGTCGTTCTGGTATTGAGGAATGGAGAAAGCTCTGGGAGTTGCAGCCAGTCCCACAAGCTACTTTTGCTGGAATGAAGCTAAAAGACTGTATGATAAGTCCTGATTACACCAGATTAACTCTAATACCCCATCCCTCACTTTGGTTAGCTCGATTCCCTAAGAAGCGAAGCGTGGGATGAACGGCTGCTGACTTGGAGCGCCAGTGGGCTTGCAATTGAGGACTGCTCCAATCAGAGACAACAGCGTAAGTAAAATGGAGCACAAAACCCACGGAGCAGAGGGGTCTTCCTTCTCCCTGACAAGGGGAGGGAGGGAAAGGGACTCACCACAGCTGGAATCTGAGTACTCAGACTGGGTCTCTCCCATCTCCTCAGGGAACGTGGGGCCGGCGGTGTGGAGGCACATCTCTGCATGCTGTGGGGACTGAGAGCCGCAGGACGTGCACTTCGGGGGGTGCATATAGAGTGGTGAGTGGCTGTCACTGCTGCTGCGGGGAGAGCCTGTCAGGGACCTGTGGGCAGGAGTGAAGACAGCCTCAGCACCTGGGGCAGGGCCTCAAGACCACCCTCTCCTCCCTGTGTGTTGGCAAGCCCAGAGGCCAGGGCTGGACTGCCCGCTCGGGCTCTGAGCCCCCAGAGTTGTCCTCAAGTGTATCTCCAAACAGTATCTGCGGAAAGATCATTGACCAGGGTCAAACTGAGCCAGAGCTTCTCCGTAGCCCACAACCTCTCTCAGTCCAAGGGTAGCAGGATGGTCCCCTGCCACATCAAGACCACAGGAAGTGCCTGTGGGATTTACAGAACACTATTCTGCCCCAGAAGGGAATGATCTCTCTTGCTGTGAAAACATATACACTACTTCAGTGTAATACACTTCCTTACTTACACTAACTCAATCAATAGGCACTGATTCCACACCTCTAATAGGCTCAGCAATTCAGCCAAGAAAGAAGAAACCCTTGTATCCATCAGAAGAAATGACGTGGATCCCTGCCCAGGTAACCCCTGACCTCAGACCCAGACTGTCTCTGAAATCACCTGTTAACGATGTTATTGAGCCGGCTGGCTTGCGGGATGGTGGAGTCCTCCCCGCTGGCACTGAGCTTGGTTGGGGACTGGAGGTCAAGGTTCTCAGGCTCCATGGGTGGCTGGCAGGCAGGTGGGGCCGTGTAGACCCGTGGGGAAAGGCGGCCCAGCTCAGCCTGCTCTGGCCCCTCTGGTTTGGCATTCTGGTTGAGGCTGTTGAGCACGATGAACTTGTATTTCTTCCAGTTGCAGGCTTTGGGGTCAGTGGGGCTCTTGGCTGGAGGGGAGCCAGAGGCCTGGAGGATGCAGGCATTCTTACTGCTGCAGGACTCTGTGGGCGAGTTGGGCTGGCAGTCAGATTTCTGGGGGCTCTGTGGACTAACCAGACCCTTCCGGTTCAGGGGTGCATTGGGGGGCTCGAAATGCAGGGCAATCTCATCTTCTGAGGAGGGTCTCTCTTCTTCTTTGCTGGCCTTGTCACAGGGGAAGTAGGGGGCATTTCGGGCTGAGGGGGCAGCAGGCTTGAGGCCCTCAGCCACACTGTAGTGCATATCGCTTCGTGCCTCTTCTGGGACTGTTTCCTTGGGTGAATAGATATTGCTGTGGCACACACTGGGGGACACCTCCAAGGCCGGCCGGCTGTACTCACCGGGGACTGGCCTGGTACTATCGCACGGGAGGGCCCGCTCCTTGGGGAAGGGGTTGGCCACAGGCATCCGGACATCCCGAAACTCCTCATCGGAGAAGAGGAGGCTGCTGACAGGGAGGTGGCTATACATGGAATAAGAGGCTGGCGGTGTGGACAGGCCACTGTACAGGCTGGGGGCAAAGGCTCTGCTCTCACACCCAGGGGCGTTCCTCAGTGGCAGGTTGTTCTCCACCACCTCACGACCCCGATAGGCCATGATGTCTTGAGGCATCAGCATCCGGCTGTTGAGGAACTCTTCATGACGGGGCTTGATGGCAGGAACCATCTCTGCTTCACTGTGAAAGAAAACAAGAGGAAAGACACCGGCCTCAAATCAGGACGGTTAAATAGATGAGCTTCCAGTGGCACTTACGTAACCACATCTGTGTCTGAATTAGCTAGACACAGGTGACATGGCTCTGGAGCTGGGAAATACAATTACAACGCATTTACACTAGAAGCCTGGAAATCTAGCCTACAATTGGGAAGATTGAGGCCCAGAGAAGGGAAGTGAGTTACCGGCATGACCTGTGCCTGATTAGACATAATCCTGTATGTTTAAGGCACATATCTATGCATGTGTGTGAATCTATAGCTCTTCTGATGTTATAAAATTTTATAGCTCACATAAAACTTTCAAAGCCCTTATCTCATTTCACCCATGCAAAATCCTGAAAGGAAGGAAAGGTGGTTATTATTATCTCCATTTTACACGTAGGGAAACAGGAAAAGAAGAATTTATACAATGCTGGTATGACACATTTGGAGGACCATACACAAATGAGTAACCTACTGAAGAAAGAACTTGTCCCAGATGCTGATGAAAGCTTACATAGAGAACAGGCAGCAAATGCCAATACAAGAATCCCTGGTCTAGAGCAGCCAGACCTGGTTTGCAAACCCAGCTGTGCCACTTAGCAGCTAGGTGACATGGAGCAAGTTACTCAGCCATTCTAAGCACAAGGCCTGATCCACTGAAAGTACTTGTAAATGATAGCAATGATGATCTTGCCACCATTAGCACCCACAGGAGACAAAGAACTCTAGCTGTATATACCTGAAGGAACATCATGTGGGTGAAATAAATACGCAAGCTCACCATGATGACAGTTAACGGAGCTAGAACCAATAAGAAGGTTAAAGAGAAGCCAAAAAGAGAAGCTTTCTAACTGTCCAAGGTATGCCGTGTGGTTCTGGGAACACTGAGTTTCTGGCTCCTGGAGGTTTTCAAACACAGCCTGGAAACCCCTTCTGTTTGAGCGAGGATGCAATCACCCTAGCATGGCTGGATCAAATGGTTCTAAAGAAGTTAAGCTCTGAGTCTCTGTTCCACATAGTGAAGCTCTTCCCTTCTTTGGATCTCAAGTTCCTCACCTTTAAATGAAGGTCATGTCTTATCACCCCTCAGGTGTACTCAATTCAGTTCAATAAATGTCCTGCCTAGTAGGACCACTGTGACATAAAAGGTGAGTAAGACAGCCCCTGTAACCTTGAGCAGCCCACAGTCTGGTAGGGAACTAAGGCACATACGTAAATAGTTGTAATAGAAGTCTAAAGGAGAACTAAAATACATATGCAAATATTAAAATAGAAGGAAAGTTTAAAGCACAGGCAAAATGCTTCACAACACAGAGGAAGAGCTGAGGGAGGAAAAGTGGTAATCAGAAAAACTTCCACGGAAGAGCTGGCATCCAAGATTGGCCTTACAGGATGGGTCGAGGAGAGGGTATATTAAGCGAATGGAAGAAAGCAAGAGGCGGTAATGCATAGGACCTATCTGCATAGCCACAGGAGTTAAGTCTGCCTGGGGTACAAGAGTTAAGAAGAGCAGAAGTGTGCAAAAAGAGTGGAAATGTGGGTTGCAGCATATCGTAGAGGACTATTTTTTCTGTATGCATGAATTATCAAAGGTTTCTGATCAGGGACCATCTCTTCCATCTCCGAGGCTTCCACCCGGGCAGCAACTCACCTGGCCTTGATAAACTTCCGGCAGGTGTCCACAACATGCTCCATCTGCAAGTACATAGCTGTGGCCATCACAGCCATGATGTTGCCCTCCCGCAAATTGAGCCGAGATGTGTACATAAAGTCCAGGAGGATGCAGAAGCCCTCAGGGTTGATCTCAGGATCTAGATTGATCACACTAAGGTTGCATTTCAACTGGTCTGTGAAGATGCTATAGAACAGGCCACTGTAAAACAAACCAATAGCCCACTCTAGTAGATGTATAGAATCTGTGATCCATTACAGTCAGCACTGATACTCAGCCCCTTTCCCCTGGGCTATTCCCCTACCTCCAGAACTTCTACGGTAATTAATAATAGCTGCTATTTATGGAGAGCTTACCAAATGTCAGAGAGTCATTAAGCACCGTACATGCATTATCCTTTGCTCCTTACAGCCCTGCAAGGTAGGTACTATCATTCTCTGCCTTTACAAATAGGGGAACTAACGTCAGAGGGGTTAACTGAATCTTCTTAAAGTCACAGGGCCTATTTTCCTTTTAGTCTTAACTGTACGGATTACCAGAGTTAATTTAGCCCCCATTTGCAGTAACTATTCTTAGTCTATCTTTGGCATAAGCATTTCCTCTTGTTCCATTGCATTTCTACTTATTTTTTAAATTCTATCTTTTTTTAGAATTTGGGTATGAATGACAACTAAATAAAAATATGCCTACATCTATACTCTACTGCTTTTATCAAAGTCCATAGATTAAAAGAGGGTCTGTTATTCCTAGAAGACCCAAGTCAAACCCCAAGCAATGCCTCCAGGTGCCATGCTGTCTGGTGGTGGAAAGAGTACTCAATTGTAAACAAGAATTCTGGGCTATCGTCTTGATTCCTGATTCTGCTTTTTCTGAGTGGGTTGCCAGAAGTGAGCCAGACTTCCACCAAGTAGCTATGCAACTTTGGGTAAGATATTTAGCTTCTCTGCATCTTGCTTTACTCATCTTCAAAGTAGGAGGAACAATCATGTCTACCTTACAGTGTTGTGGCAAGAATGAAAATCTAAAGGATATAGAATGATGCCTCGTATATAGTAAGCATTCACTAAACATTATCTATTATTTTTATATCTCTATAAGCCTCTGTTATTTCCACTATTAAAAATCAGGTGCTTAGAGTAGATGTTGGATAAGTTATCTAATAGCGAGATCCCTGATTCTACATCATTTAACCTCCCTGTGCTTTCCTTTTACCATCGATAAAATGAAGACAATAGTGCAATGCATAACACTGAAGGCTGCTAAAAAGATCCAGGGAGATGATATGTAATATAAAATTGCTTTGAAAACTCGAAATACTTGATGAACATGAAGAATCAGCTAGTTCACTCTCACTAACTCTTACATATACTCTGAACACCCATGGAGATTCAGTTGTAGCATAAAATAAATACATTTATAGCATAAAAGAGCAAAATATTTCAAATTAACTTGCTTAAACTACTTAAAGAAAGTTCATTTGAAATCTTCTGTCATTTTTTCACTGGTTAACTGAAGTTGTTCTCCATGTCTGCCCCAAACACATCCTTTCTTGGGGCAGTAAATAATTTTTCTCCCTCTCTGCCCACAGAAAATGACTCTCTTTTCTAAAAGTGCATTCGTTCATTCATTCATTCACTTGGGAGCCTACTCTGCCAGGCCATGGTGCTGAGATCTGGAGACAAAGCGAGACGTCGCCCAGATGCAGTAAAAGGCCTCCATGTTCCGCCTTGCTTGGCCGCCAGCACCATCACCCCACTTTGACTCACCCACCCTTTCCTTTCAGACCCCTCACCTGCAGGCCATGAGGACCGTTTTATGGGCTCTAAACTGCTCACGGCTCACAACAATGACAACATCAGTCAAGATGTCTCGACTCCGGAGACGATTAAGGTTGAGAAGAACATCACTGGCATGGCGGGTGAACTGGATGCAGCTGTCAGCCGGCGAGGCCATTTTGTCTTCACTTGAAAAAAGAAGCCAAAATCCTGTTAGTCCTCCAGAACCTGTTTCCTGCTTGCCATGGGTATCAGAGCAGGTGGCTCAGCCTGCTAAGGTACGGAATGCAACTCAGGTCCCTTGTGTTTGATCTTTGAACAATTCATAGCCCAACTCTGGCCATTATTCTTCACAGTTTCAAAATGGGGAAAATAACTTTTATCCAGCAAGCTGGGATAGAAAGTCCGTTAGGGGAAAAGCAAAGGGAATGAATGTTTGTTGAGTGTTTTTCCCACATACCAAATACTCTGCCAAGCACTGAGAGGCAGTGAGTATGTGGCAATGGAGAGACACTGGATTTTTTGCTTTTTTTTTCTTTTTGAGATGGAGTCTCACACTGTCACCCAGGCTGAAGTGCAATAGCGCAATCTCAGCTCACTGCAACCTCCGCCTTCCCAGATTCAAGCGATTCTCCTGCCTCAGTCTCCTGAGTAGCTGGGATTACAGGTGCCTGCCACCACGCCCAGCTAATTTTTTCGTATTTTTAGTATAGATGGTGTTTCACTATATTAGCCAGGCTGGTCTCAAACTCTTGACCTCATGATCCACCCAACTCGGCCTCCCAAAGTGCTGGGATTACAGGCATGAGCCGCCGCACCCGGTCGAGACACTGTGTTTTAAGATTATCAGGCTAGACTTGCCTTTTGTTAGCTGTGGGACTTTAAGCAGGTTGTTTACTGGTTTTGGGCTCTGGTTTCCCCAAATGGAAGTAGTAATACCTATGTGGTTATAAAAGTTGGAAATACATTCTTTGTTCATAGGAGGTTCTCAAAACTCACAGCTATTCTCTTAAGTATCTTATTTCATCATCTCAGTCACCATTGGTCTCTCTCTACTGTTAGGCTTTAGAGTTGCCTGACTTTCGTACCTTGAGGAGCTAGCATATTGTTGGTGCACAGTAGCTGGCTAAATTAGTTTGTACAAAGAAAGAGTAACAGAATGATTGACCATGCAAGTGTTAAGACAGTCTAATACAGAGGTGAAGGATGAGGACTAGGAGTGATGTAGAGGGAACTGGTTATCCTTGTCTCATATAATGAACAGTAGCAAAGTTCACAGAAACACATGTATTGGCAAATTCAAAAGAAACAGTTTGTCCCAACATTTGGAAGCATATAATTTTATTTACTTACCCAATGCCTTGCTTCACAGTCCAAAATTTTGCTCAAAACCTGCAGAGAAGAGAAGAAAGCAAACAGAAATTGATTTAACGAATGTAAGATTGTCCACTATAGTCTTATTTTAGGACATACACATTTAGTTTTGCTTTGATAGTTGCAGCTTGCCAGCTGGTGTGGTTTTACCACAAGCTAACAAACATTTTCCAACTCTGCTCTTACGAAAACAACAGGCACCCGAAGCTATGAGATAATAATGTTTTTATCCTGAGTACTGGGAGTACAATTGCATACATTAATTAGTTATACATACATACATACATACATTTCCTTCTTCAAAGAAAAAATGTATACCATCCAAAGGCCACTTGAGTTTATGGGAAATAAAAAACAAGAAAAATGGTTCTGTCAACATTAACAATAATGATCCGTCTGTGGCCTAAATATACTGGACGTCATTCAAAACCTGCTACAATATTATCTTTCAAGTCTTAGAATGATTCCACGAGGACGATAGGGCCAATATCTTTATCCTTATTTCACTGGCAATGAAACTGAGATTTAAGGGTTCAAGTGGCTTGCTCAAGGCAAACAGCTAGGCAGTATTTCCTGCCTATCTGAAATATTAAGACTGAATATAGCTCTGCAGAACACAGCCTGAGACGTCATGTCTACGTATTCCTTGAAAACCTTTGTCTTGTTTTTCAAAGTTTTCTCTCCCTTCCCTACTGGGTCTAAGACCAGACAGAATGCTATTGCTTCCAAGTTTGTGCTTCTCCCTGCTGGTAAAAGACTTAACTATGTGATTTAGCTGAGAACTGGTCAGGGAGCACTAAACCTTAAAGAGATTTAATGAAATATGTACCTCCTTTCAAACTGGCTTCTCTAAAACAAAATCATTAAAAGCATAGGTGTGAGACCCTCATTTATGATCAAATGCGGGCTGCAAAACAAAACAATATTCAAACTGTCTTTCCTCCTGTAAAAAGAAAAAAAAAAAAAAAAAAAGCAGAACCTTTTAGAGCTATTTTCCGGGTAAACGGGCCTGAGGCCAGCAAGGTCATGTTGGGCCATGTAGATGGTTGGTGACCTGGCCCTAGGTCTTCTGGCTCCAATTCCTGTCCCCTTTCCAAATCAGCCTACGTGCTGTAGAACATGCAAGACAGCACCCTGATGTGGGTGAATCTCATTTTTAAGTTCCTTCCCCCACACAAACACTTTGCCCCATTCCAGGCTGCTGAGTCTTACCAAATGAGCACTCTAAAATGAGAGGTTTCCTTGAGTCTGTAACCAAACACTCTGACATTTCTCTGTGGTCCCAAGTGCCAGTCACTCAATCCCATCGGCTCCAAGGTTAGTGTGTGCATGTGAGCGAGTGAGGACTGGAGGGAAGGAAGTGGGGAAGGGAGAGGACAGAAAAAGACAAAAGAACCTATCTCCTCTTCTCCCCAGCCCAACTCGAGATAGGCAAAGAGAGATAGACTAACTCGGCCTTTACCAAACGTCAAGGATTTTCTCCTTTGCAAAAGAAAGCTGAGGACACACGGGAGGTTTACATGTAAACTTTCCTCTCTTCCCTCATGGAAGGGATCCTCAAACACTTCTGGAATACCTAGGCTGTTCTTTAACCAGCTTCAACCACCAGCTTGCTTGTGGATTTCCAGTCGCAGGCTTCTGGAACCACAGGAAGCCCAGATTTGCCATTTCACCATAACAAGTGGCAATGACTCACTCCAGATGCGGACTGAAACAAACAAATTCTCCTGTGTCCACTGTCAGCTAGGCCTTGGGCTTTTCACCCTAAGCCTCTGCCTGGCCAAAAACAAATGTACATACACAAGGCACAGTTTCACTCCTTTGTAAGCCAACTCTTCTTAAGAGCCCCACCCCCCAACTCCTGAGTGTGTGGGTTGAGTGTGGGCAGTGTTGTCACCAAATGCCGCAGGTGTGGAAGCACCACCAGTACTTGGTTTGTACTTTTACCGAGCCCTTAGTCCTTTCCCACCCCTCAGGATTACATCTTATCCTTATAACAGCCCTGCTTTATTAGGGAGGGAACTGAGGCCCCAGGTGAGAAGCCTTGCTCCAAATCTCAAAGCCAATTTCCAGCAAGTTCTGGACATGACTCATCTCCTAGATTCAGCCATTCCACTAATGCCACACAAAAGACTACCCACAAAAACAATCTCCAAGGAGCAGGGCTGTCAATGAGAAACTGCCACTTGCTGGCTGCCCCCAGACCTGGACTTCCCATCCCAATCAACCCGCACCCGCGCTGGGTCAGTAACCACCACGGTAGAGTTACATGTTTTCTCCTCCCTTCCTCCCTTTAGCTCCTTTGGCGCTTTCCTTGTGCATAGCCAACTAGGCTCCTTGAGAAGGCAGATCCTTTAAAAGAACTTTCCATTGAAGAAGAAAACAGGAACCAAAAAAAAAAAAAAAAAAAAAAAAGCAAACAGAGAGAAGACAGCAGAAACGAGAGAGAGAGAGAGAGAGAGAGAGAGAGCGAGAGAGAGAGAGAGAGAGAGAGAGAGAGAGAAAATAAGAGCGAGAGGCGAGGTTAAGAGCCAGAGAGCGAGCCA